CACATTTTCACCACTAATAAGCTTATCTTGTCATCTCCTGTCACTTAAGGCAAGCCCTCAGTTTATTTTGGTTTTGATCTAGAAAAACAGGAGTTTGACAACAAGTGCCTACACAATAGTCTGGTGGCATTCCCCTCGAGTTTCCCAAATCCGATTTGACAGGCAACAGCATGCGCATGACATGCATGAGAGTGGAAGCGAATGGGTTTCATAGGACCATCTTGTCTGTCTTTTACTTCAACCGAGGCCAATATGTGGCCGGTGAAGACGAAAAGAAAAACCATGCTCAGGTCTGTCCAGCGGAAATTATAGTGTTTCAGTACGCTTTCATGTGCTTATCCAGTTACTGGAAGTTGTGTTTTGAAAACATCACCTGACCTAATGTCTTATCCTCTGTCATTTACAGAGAAGAAGCCGTATGCACAAAGCATCTCATCTTACCACTAGGAGATGAAGGTCAAAGCTTCTAGCTAATTATGGTTTCATGAATTAAATCGTCTACAGTGATTGAATGAAACGTTACCGATCTGCGTCAGTGGATGTGAAATAAAGTATTCAGCGATAGACAAGAGGAGGAGGATCAAATTAGATTTAGGTGTATAGACCCCATTTGGGTTCAATGAATAACTCCGACAAACAGCGGAGATATTCCTAGTTTATCATCGCTTCTGTATTTTTCCAATATGTAAGTAGGCGCCCGGTATTAAAATCTGTTTGTGAACCTAGAATAAAAATGGCTAAAATGTGACTGAATCTAATGAGCATTTTCTTAAGTGCATAATCAAAATTGTATCTAAAGTAGCTGCCAACATTAATACTGTAGATAACTAACCTTATGATTGTGTATTGATTGTACGTATTGTATTGTTACATGCAACGCGGTGTAATGCCTGATGCAGCCGACAAAAAAACTTGAGTCTTAAAGTTAGGACGCTACTTTTAGCCTCAGGATGTTTTAGGAATGTGTCCCCAACTTTGTTTGGATGGGTCCAAGTCAGATGATGAAAGATTTCCTTCTAACTATATATATATATATATATATATATATAGCAGGGCCTTCAATCAAAGGTGCCCAAATTTAGACAAATTTTGTTTCGTTAATAAGTCAAGTTTTAACACTGCATTACATGGAATTTCAGTATAACTGCACCCTTGGTCTGTATATTTCTGCTTTTATTCCAACTTCAAACACAAAATGGGTTTCTCTAAAGTGCTTTGGCAGAAATGGGATCTCAATGAGATGAACAACAACAACAAAAAAGCCTCCTCTCTGCTTTTTTCTGGAATGTCAGATTAACCCATCAGCTTTTCCCATCTGCCTGTCACTCAAGATCGCACAATGAGCCTGTAGCCAGACTGGGGTCATTAAAAAACCATCAACAAAGCAACGAATCTCCAGGGACTGCCAGGGGCAGCCTAATCTGGACCCCCGTACCAACCCAATGGGTGGTCTCCTTCCCTCTCTCCCGCTCGCTCTCTTTCAGGGAGGGTGAAATATGTGCAACATGGTAGGTGGGTGATGGCGATGAGGCCATCAGTCACACGCAACCATGCATGTGCAAATGCACCCGGACTCCATCTCACACGTTTTCATAGACACACACCACAAACCACATTTTTGGTCAATGACATATTTACAACCCGACGTGTTGCGAGGTGAGAAAGCAAATTCATTCTGAAAAGAGAAGTTCAGGCAGCACTCATAAATCATCAGCAAAAAAGTACAAGAGGGCTACTTTCTGTTGACACTGGGAAAAAAATAAGAGGAGAAAGGGACTCTTTTTGAGAACTTTATGCAAATACTACTTCAGCCATCTTGTCATTCTCGAAGTGCTAAATGAATCACTTTGAAAGTGAGAGAGAAGTGTCTTGTTCGCTTAAGCAACGCAGTTCTCCAAAGCCCATCTGTCTACCAGTAACGGTAGCATTAGGTGACTAAATAAGCAACTGCTGCTCTGTTGGGCAAAGAGGAAGATCCTCTTAAACGCTGTGGGTATTTGTGTACATGTGCGCTGCATACAGCGGAGATTATCTGCTTTTATTAGGAAGAGGAAACACTGAATGGATGAATGGAGATTGTGAGTGTGTGTGTTGGACTGATGGGGGGGATTCCAGAGACAGGAACATTCATCTAGAACCGAAGATCCTGTGCAGCACTACTCTCTAGCGCATGCGTGCACTAACACACACACACACACACACACACACACACACAATCTCATTTTTGTGGCCCAATCTGTATAGCCAAGAAAGGAAATGAGCGTGTGAGTGGGTGCACAAACGCTTTTAGTGTCCTTGTGTGTGCGTGAGTAGTTTCGGGGACTTGACATTTGTCGTTTATCTCTAAAGAGGTGAATTCCTGCGTTAAGTATTCAACCCTGGATAGAAAGTGTCCCAGTTTAGTCATAAATGAATTGTTACATCTACATAAAGACAAAACCTCCAGTGAAACCACACACACACACACAAACTGAATATTGTGTAACACTATGTAAATTCTATGGTTAGGCACGTCTTCCTCTTTGATAGTTAACTGTGTATCATCATCAATCGGAATGATAAACTGTAGAAATCAACTGGTGGAAATACTGACTAGTTTTATCTGAATCATAAAAATTACCCGTGACAATAACACAGAGAAATTACAGTTTAGGGCCTGGACTAGTCACACAATACTAAACTTTGAAACTCAACCTGACATTTCTTACACAGACATTCATCAGTGCTTCTTAAAAGGTGCAAGATACGAGACTGGGAGCATTTGAATTGCCTCTCAACATGGTGACGGCGACCCAGCGACTATTAGCTAACAATGCCAACAGCGCCAACAGTGCAAACTAAGGTGAAAGTGCTGACAGAGCCAATTGTGTTTCCCTGAGGGTGCTACGCCTCCGGGACGGCATTATCAGCTGTAACCGCAAAATGCGAGTAGTGCCGAGCAGCGGCCGTGAGGTAACCAGTGCGGTACGCCAACATGCACTAAAAGCACGTGTGGCCGGCCCGGACATGTCAACAACGCAAAGAGAAATCTAAATTGGTTCCAATTAGAACTAATATTTCTCAGTCATGCTCCTTTGACAATAATATACTTTAGATACTATAAAAGCTTCAAATTGGATCTATTCTTGTTGAGAGTATAAAATAAAAACAACATAGTTACAATCATCATAATATATATGCATTTTAACAGCTCACAATGCCTACTTTTCCTCGTGTACGAATAAATACCATATATATATATATATATATATATATATATATTAATGTGTCAGCTCTAGGAAGGGGGAGCACCTGCTTGTGTCCACTCGCCCGGCTGCTCATCTCTTGTTGGCAATAGCACGGTTGCATGTGTCCATCTGATGCTGAGAGCTGAATGGATACACAAGAACATTGCATTCTTTCCCAAAGGATGTTTATATTTATTTTAGATGGGCAGATGCTGCACTACTGGATGAGCCTGACTTAAGTTCCCATGAGCTTTGCTAACTTGGCATAATAAAAAAACGGCCTTCTCCTGCAACCCTCATCCTCCGTCCCATCACTCTGGTGCCTCAGATTGGGTGAGTAACCTTAACTTACAGTATATTTAACACAGTATTTTGTATCAGTGTTAAACACTTTATGTCCGACCATTGTAATGTCAAGGCCTTTGCTGAAAGTCATCTTTGAAAGGACCGACAATATCCAAACCCGAATGAACTCGAGGGGTCCAGACCGGTCAGGGTGATTAGCAAAGGAGCTAAAGTCATGGGTGCATATATCAGAGTGAATGTGAGAAAACCTTCTCCCGGCAAATGCAGGTTCATAACAAGGTACTGAGCCTCTGTTGTCGGCTACCTTAATCTAAGAAGTCTCATCTCTCCCTCTTCCAAAGACTCCTTTCAGTCTCCCTCTCTATTTTATCTGGTCATCAGAGCCCAGAGCTCAACAGTTGGACATCAAAGTACCGACAGTGGAAAGGGAGGGGTGTCTGTCTCTCCTCATCTGTCCCATCCCTGTCTGCAACAGCCACAGAGGGATTCGTGAGACGGACCACGGGGGCCCTCGTCTCTCACTTTACACAGAGAAACCCTATCACTTGGCTCAGTGCTGCGGCGCTACCCGCTGATGCCCCGCCAGTGCCCGCTACATCACATTAGACGCTTTTTATCTAACTCCCTGGAGATGGGAGGGTAGTTCAAGCCAGTGTGTGTGTGTGTGTGTGCTTTGATGAGAATGACGGCGTGAGTCTGAGTAAGGCAAAAATATAAATGTGCATTGATAAAAGCATACGCAATGTGCGGAGACATGGACACTTGCTGGTGTGTGCACACGCTACATTGACTTTTCAAAAAGATCTGCCTTGGTCAGTTATACAGTATACGTGTATAAAAGAAGAAATTAATTGATAATGGGAGGAGAGAAAATGAGAACAATGGTGAAACGGGTACATAAAGTTTCTTTCTGAGTTGTTGTTATACTCACTAGTTTATGTTGATATTTCCTTTGTGAGTGTATTTTTGGTTATGTGTCATGTTCACTTTATAAGAAAAAGAGAGGACTGCTGAGTCAAGAGGGAGATGCAAACTATCAAAATCTGGTGTATTCCGTTCATAAAATATCTATTGATGGTGGATCGGTTTTATTAAAAGCATTCAGACGTTTTGTGGGTAGATTTTAGCTAAATGCAGTGAGTAGTGAAGATGGAATAAGGATGCCGATGTAGTACTCGGTGTTTAGCAAAGTAAACCGGTGCAGAAGAGCCCAACTCTGTTTGCATCAGGGCCTCAACTCCATATGACATCCCACACCAGTATATTATGTAATATTCCCCTATCCAAGTCTATTTGTGTCTATGACCCAGTTAAAACATTCTGTGACACACTTTTGGGTCTCTATTTATCAGGTGTGAAGCTACGGGCCCACGGTGTTTTGGGAGTGTTTATTTTGAGGCTACCCTGATGTAAAGGAACTATTGGACGAACCCTGCCGAGTTCAGAGATATGAACAACACAACTCACCACAGAGGTGAGCGCCATCTGGAAGCTGTAGATGCGGGCTAGACCAAAGTCGGCCAGCTTGATCTGTCCTCCGCTGGTGACCAGGATATTCTGGGGCTTCAGGTCACGGTGTACCACACGGTGCGAGTGCAGGAAGTCCAGCCCCTGGAGCAGCTGGTACATCATATCCTGGAAGACAACAAGGGGAGGGTTGATTTTTGTAAACATGACAAGGACAGATAATTTATACACATCATATGTGGCTTTGTATGATGAATCTCACCCGATGAATTTGATTTCCCAAATAGTTCAGCCTTAATTGACCTTTCAAAATGTCAAAAGACAGATGGCTTCATGACCCCACGCCTCCACATTTAACATTTGAATTCATTCCTCGGTCAAACCAGGCGACTAAAGGCCGGAATGACAAGACGCTGCAGTGAGAAGTTAAGTACAAATGCTGAGACATTGTGGTATGGAGGGAGTTAACTGGAGGAGGCATGTGTCTTTTCTTGGCGACTGTGGCAGATGTTTGATAACGGACACACACAAACACGATATAGAGGCAGAAAGAGGCCCCGTTCTGTACAACCATGGATCTCTGTTTCTCAGCAGCTGTCCTGCTCGAGTTAATTGGCACTCGTTCCCTTTTTATGACCAAAAGCTGACCTTAGAAATGGCCATAGACACTGCATCCATGACACACGAGCAAAAGTAACACGCATGAACTACATCAAAACCAGCTTAGACTTGTTCTTTTCAAAACGAAATACTCTCAAACAGGTCCCGCACCTGCAAACAAATAATAACTCATTACAAGGGATTGTGGCCCGGTGGTTTTGGCTGAGTTTTAGCTTGGATTGTTGTAAATAATGATGTCTAGGGGGAGCTATTTACGATTAATAACAGATGCAAATAAATAAATATGGAGTTTTTGTCGCTAAAAATGTAAGTCCCAATCATTTACTCTGTTAGAAAATCAGAGGAGACAATGTCGACATGTGTTGGATTCTGGACTGTACATCCCCCTCCACACACACACTCCTTCCTTC